AAAGGTTATTCAATTTTACATTATTTTTTATTTCCAGTCATTTTAATTTCATAGAAATTTATTTTGCGATGTCAAGCAGAAAATACAAATTAGTGAATAGATGTGAGGACAGCGGAAATGTCTTGTGTGTGATGCATCATTCCTGTGATGTGGCTTAATTACACAAGACGGACGCGTTGGTAATTTCCTACGATTCTTCTCCAAGTTTTTGAAAACGCAAAAAACCGGCAAAAATCGTAATTTATAATTTTGAACAAAAACTCTCTTCAGAAAGGACAACACTAATAACCCGTCCCGTACAGCTAGTAGATATACATAAGTCATGGTTATTCTGTATAATAATGTTCTCACATAACAAATATCACTGATTTTATGCACATGAAGACCAATACACATAATCATCCAGATGCGATCCTGCTGTTCTTCTGTCACATCTTCTCAGACTGTCTCGGCATTCTGCAATCAACAAAGCATGCTGGCGAACTGATTTGCAGCATGGTCTTTGAGCATGTCGCTGAGTGATTCCACCATAGGTGACGCTATGGGTGCCGCTCACTGCGCTCCTAGCGAGCAAAAGCCGAATGAACTATTTGTACACAAGGACTTATCTAGTCCACAAGTTAACATTTTCTCGGTTTTTTGTCTGGGCAGCTGCTGCTCTGGTTACATTAACCATAGGTATCTGAGGAAGTTTCAAGTAGAGATTAACCGATATTGAATCTTCGCGCATATCAATATATCAGAGACCGATACATCGGCGTTATCATCTATTTTTGTACACAATCGGGTGTATTTGGTTCAGGTAAGTACATGGGCCGCAAACAAGTCTATTGACGGCTACTCACCCAACATATAGTTAACAAGCAGACTTGTCCTTTGCACAACTACATATGCAAGTATACTACTTGTATGAAATATTCGTGGATGTAATCTGGAGAACAAACGGACTTGAACAGTAACATTTTTGAAGCACAATCAATAACAATCCGTTTGGCGATTCTCAAAAAAATATAAAAATGTCACTGCATGTGGTGTAGACACAGCTGACAAACTGCAGGTTCTATTCATAAAATAGATTTGCAAACATCTTCCGAGACCATATACACTTATTATATGTGCAACTTGCGCAATCCCGACTGGTAAAAGTGACAGGATGTAAATTCAAACATGTCTGATAGTACATTTTTCCATACATGTAAGCAAGTCAAAACATTTACTTGATCTGTTTCGGTTGCATGAAGTTGAAGAGTATGAAAATGTCGAAAATAAGCGAAACTAGTGCTGTCGATAAAGTAACTGACGAAAAGACGGACGAAATCGATAGCTTAATTTGTGCCCTGTGGGAAAATAGTGAACACATCAAATATGGAGTGTCAGCTTTCTTAAATATAACGGAGACGAGTATAACCAAATGAGATTGTTAAACTCTTCACGTAAAAGTGAAAACTGAAAATAGCTGACAAGTTTCGTTGATAAGGCAACAAAAAGAGGTTTTTCAATACAATCAAAATATATTTTCCCCTGTATTGTGTTGTCTTTTTTAATGCAACAATATTAAACGTTATTAATTTTATAATTTATATTGGTCCGCGTATATCGGCAAATGGGCAGTCAATATCAAAATTCACTCTCTCCGAGGTGGAGAGACATTGTCTACAGGCAATGAAGCTAATTGTGAGCTGCAAGTACGTTTATGGGTATCTTTGGGTAGGAATAATTTGCGACTGTTGATTGGACTTCTAAGTGGCCACAAAACACGTCTTCTCCACGTCACGGGAGTTATCGATAATCTACTTTATGGCGGTGAGAAGGAGTCCTTTTCCCGAACTAGGCGGGTGTCCTCTAGAAGCTGCTTTCCATACCAAGCAGGGTCAAGCACAATTACATTACAACCAAAGTTCGTGCATTCGGATAAAATATAAAGAAACAAGTTGAGATTAAATACAAAACTAACACTAAAATGCGAAAATTTATTAAAACTTCGTTAGACCTTTTCACAATCAAACAAAGTAAAAGATCAGATGTGAAGTTTGAGAGCAAGTGTCGAAAAAAGAAATAGATTAAAAATAGGGAAAACATTCATTCCGACCGAGAAAGTAAGACAATCACAGTTAACAGAAGTAACATTACACTAGTCTAAAACTAGACAATATAAAAAGAAATATTTAGAAAAACAAAGTTTTTGACTTTGGCTTAAAATGTGACATTGATAAAACTTTAAAGCCATCGGAAAGCATATTTAGGAGATATGGTGCAACAAAAAAAGACTTAGTTAATAGGGTAGTTCTATGGAATGAACCGCAGATTTGCTGCATGATGTTGACTTTCTCAAAGATTATTATTTGAATATCCGTTAAAAATCCGTTGAAATGGAAAAGCGTTTGATATGAATTATGGTGCACTGATGATTGTGCATATAGGTGTTGGCGATAAAACACCAGACCGCATGCGTAGGCGAGTGTAGATCTAATGACCATTTTATATAACCGAATTTTGTTCATCAAGCTTAATGAAGGATAAAGAAACTTGGTATTTTGTTTTCAAATTATCATTGTGTTTCTGCCAGGTCAACGCTTTGTCAATAATGACTCCAAAGTATCTGGAAGAGTGTTGCTATAGTGTAATATGGTGGAATCAGAACGTATAATAATAAGTTTATTTCCGGATGGCTACACAATTAGTAGTATTTCAGGTATATCATGTATAACAGTATATCATCACCGACAAACATAAAAAGTATAATGATAAAGTCATTAAATATATAATTGAAATATTCTTCAATGCTATAGAAAGCGTTATTCAACATAATCGTCCTTATTTTTTTCCTTAAAAAGAGAGACATTTGGTATGGTTTTTATACAAGTTGGTAACTTGTTGTACAACTTTATAGCCATAGTATTGGATCTTTTTGAAAATAAAGACAGTTTGTGTGGGGGTATATGTACGTCTTTGATTCATAACATTGAATAGATCTCCTTCTGTATAACTAAGGGCCATACCGTAAAACGGGGTTACATTGCTTCATTTTTACGTACTATTTTAGGATTACTATAAAAACAAATTATGAAATTTAACTAAAACTCATTATTGTTTTAATACTCACAGGTTATACCTAATAGAATAAACATTTGTTAGAATTTTTAAATTTTCAACAATGTTTTAGATATTTTTTAGTTTAAAAGTGGAGCAAAGTACCCCTTAGGTTAGAATTACTTTGCTCCACTTAAAAAATGTGTTATAATGTATTCACCCATATAGGTGGAGCAAAGTTACGTACGTTTTGTCAACATGTCTCTAAGAAATCAATTTTGTTCATTTTTTTTTCAAAATGTTTTATTAACAAAAAATCGAACTTAAGGAATAATATTCTTTATTCGTATGAACTCAAAATAAATCATGAAAAACAAGTAGAAACATTTCAACATAGAATAAAAAGCGATGTTCTCAGGAACAGAGAAGGTTCCTCTTTTGGAAATTTCGCCTAGACCGCCTAGACCGTCAGGCCAAGGGTATGTTCAGTTCGTCCCGCCTTGAAGGTCATTTCCACATCTTAAGTAACATTTCTATGACCTTCTACAAAACTCATAAATGTATTTTCTATCTGTTGATCTTTGTCATCAAATACTACATCTTCATCCTGTCTGGAAAAGTTTATCGAGGTCTCTTCGGTAATCATGGATCGGCGATAACTATTTTTCCAGCAGGAACGTTCATCTTTTTTCTACGCTTGCTCGTAGTGTTGGCTAACGCTGACCTTTTTGCTTCAAGAGATTCTACAAACGCTGATTGAACTACATTCGGATTGCTAGTACTCTTAGGGACACGGCTTAGATTTTCTTCAATATATATTCAAGGAAATATGCCGCATTTTCGGAAGCCAGCTTTTAACTTAGCCTTAAAATATGGCGTAATAATTTCCATCAGCTTTGATAACTATGGGGGAAAGCATTGTTTCTGGGTATTTGTATTTCGGACACCTTATTCAGTGTTTTTCTTATCTGAAAAAACTTGCAATCTTTAAGGGTCGAAAAAATGCCACGTCAAGTGGCTGTGTCAGATGGGTACTGTTAGGTGGAAGACAAATTAAGTGTATTTCGTTTTAGCGACAGGGTTCGAGAGAATGTATTGTTATATGTGAGGATAAGTTATCACACAGTAGGACTTTTTTCCTTCTATCTCTTCAAGTCTAGGTATCATCTGGCAAGCCAGTCTCTTTTGGGCCATTTTCTGCCCAGGTATTCCACATCTTATGTGCCCTGTAAACAACATAGGGAGGCACTAGTTTTCCAGCGGCGTTTCCACAGAACATGATGGACACATATGAGGTTGGTTTCGTCGAAGTTCCAAATGGTTGATGGAGGAACGTCCTTCATCTCACCAGCCGGGTTTTCGAAAAACGTTCTTGATAACGGTTAATCCACTGCAGGTTACGTTTGACATTTTCTGCAAAGTGTATTGAAATTTCAGGATGCCTAACTTTAAATGCATTTCTCCAATCTTGTCCGGGTAAATTATCTTGAAAGGTTTTCACTTCCCTTCCGCAGCAACTTAAATAATTTTTGATAATGTGTCTCGATTCCATTGAGTTAATAGGGAACTCTTGTTCTCCCAGCGCTACGATGCATTCGATGAATTGGTGTTCTTCTTGAGACGTGAATATTAGGCTGCTTTTCCTTGGAATTTTATACTTTTGTTCTGCTTTTCTGTGCGAAATGTCATCTCTTCTGATTTCGACCAAACACATTTGCAAAGTTTCGACTGTATAATCTGCATACCTTCTCGATCCCACTCGTCTTGTATATTTTCTAGGCATGCCTGTAATGGAAAAAAATCATATGAGTATCATAAATAAGCCCAAAAATGATACCAAATACTACAGAAACTATAAAAAAAATTGGTGGGGTGAGTTTGCTCCGGAGCAATGTAACCATGAATGATTAAAATTTTGCCTGTCTCAACTAAAAAAATATTATTTTGGTATTTTATCATTTCTGAAGGGTAAGGTTGCTAATAAAATATTCTTAAATGATATTAAACTAGTACAAAAATACTTACTTGCCAGATAAAATACAAATATCCGCTGTACACAACAAATTTTGCACTAAAATTGAACAGCTTTTTTGCGCCCATTTCAGCTGCAGACTGTTTTCAATATTCTGCAGTCTGTTTGGTTGCATACTCTTATCTCTTCTGATAGTAAAGATACGAATAAACCCTTTTCGGTCAAGGGGTAAAGTAGCCGGTTTACGGTATCGTCAGTTGTTCCTACAATTGACGCCTTTATGGCCTCCTTATTTTTCATAGTTTTGTACTGATCCGTGTCTGCGCTCTATTTTGAGGTTATCTTACAGATATCTATTTCCATCAAATTGTTCACGCCTTTGATTTATATCATCTGATACGTCAGCCCGAAATTTTCTACAATTCAATAAGAACTCAACCTCACAGTATGAGAGCTCTAAAGCTGATACGGAACAGTGGAAATCTAGAAATACCCCAGCCTTTCTGAAGTAGAGAAAAGACAATCAAAATCAAGCGAGCCATAGAGGCATCCTACAATATTGTAGGAACGACTGACGATACGGCTCTTAAGAATGTGAGTTGTGGGAAGTAAAGCGGAGTAGACCTTACACTTTTCTTAGATACATTACACGGATTCTTCATTCTGTAAGCTTTATTGATAGTTTCTGATCATTCTTATTCTTTCACCGAGCCCTGTTTTTCTCCACCACTGGTTCTACTCGGCCGTTCAACATTTTACCATTCCTCCTCACCTCTTTCACGTCAGTGATTGTCCAGCACATTGCTTCTTCGGCAGTCGGCCATCACTTGCCGTACCAAGAAGAAGAATAAAGAAGAAAGGAAGAAGTGATGGCTTGTCGCGAACGCAAGTGGCTCCCCGTGGTGCTTTTGGCCGTGGCATTGGCCTCGAAGGTCGAGTCTGCCCCTAGCAAGGGCAGCAAGGGGCCAAAGACAACTTCTGCTGGGACGGTGTTTGACCAGAAACAGACGGGGGATTACAACATCCAGTTGCATCTGAAGGATTTTCAGATCATCGCGCTGTTGGCTGATGATTCTGCCGGGTTTGGGGTGAGCGTTTTCTATTACATATTAAATCAAATTGCTCGATGTCTCGGGGTAACATGCTTTTCATTTTTCCCCTTTTACTTACTTCATGGATTTCTATTTGCTTAGCTTTCGTTCGCTGTCCTACCTGAGACCAAACCTAGACCATGGTGATGACTTGCCAAAAAGCACGAAACAGCTATCCATGATTTGTCTTTTTTGGTCGAACGGACGAAAGCTTATGTATTTTTTAGAAAAACAGAAGTATTTAGACTGAGTTGACAAGAACGTACATCACGAAAAAACATGTTACTCATTTCTGTCGTCCTGTCTTCTTTCATCTGCCCTGTATCTCAGAAAAGACCGCTCGGCTTGTGGTCGAATATTTACGTGAGGTTACAATGAGTAAAGGAGAAAAAATCAAAGCATTCCAATCCTTCATTTTTAAACGTTTTACGGGTTTCTGTAATTTTTAGGCGTGTTCATTCAATGTTTGGGAGGTGTCAAGCTATTTAAAATCTCAAATTACGTTTTTAGGTTGGAGTTGAAACAATTTACGACAGAATGATGTTTTTATACGCCTTCCTGAAATTTTAAACACATTTATCTTAAAACATGGTAAATAGTAAGCTAGTCAACTTGTCATCCATGTTGACGGTAAATTTGCCCCGTTGATGACTTTCTAGTTTTTGTTGAATGAAATTTATTTTAATCAATTCAATAGTCATAACACATACCTCCTTAACTCTAGGTTTTATAATTATAATAAGATGCAAAACTGAAAATTCGCGGTAACCCATTTTTGTTTCAGAAATACTTCTCTTAATAATGTGCTTTTCAATGTAATATCTCCTCAAATCTCCATGAAACCACATATTAATGATACCTTTTTAAACTGGAAAAACTATAGCAAAAATTGCCATTTTATACTCTATGGTTTGCATATTTCTGAGATTCCTGATATTTTCAGAAACAAACGTGTTTCTTCCCACGACTACTAGCGAGGAAGTATAGTAATCGCAAAAATTTCCGAAAATGGAATATGACGACGAAAAATATTTTGCTTATTAATGTTCCTTTCAATGTAATATCTCCTCGAATCTCCAAGAAGCCACATATTAATAATACTTTTCTAAATTGGAAAATTGACAATTTATACTCTATGGTTTGCATATTTCTCGGATTGCTGATATTTCCAGAAACAAACGTCTTTTTCTTCCCACAACTACTGGCAAAATATTTAGACCGCCTATAACTTGGAATGTACTACTCGGATTTGGATGAAATTTTCACACAAGGGCGGACAAGCTTTTTTTTGAAAGTCGGTCCTGTGGCGGCGGTGCTATGGGCAAAAACACAAAAAATATAAAAATCGCTAAAACTTTGTTATACGACGTTGCTGATCGCTTTAAGAAAAAAAATTGTATGGGTTGAAAATCGGGGGTTTGGGGCTGGTGGACAAGGTATGTTTAATTTTCACATATCAAAGATTTCGCCATACATTTGCCCTTAAAGCGCGAACCAACAGCGAATTTTATACGCCAAACCCGGCTTTGCGTCTGGCAGCATCGTCGGCAGAGATGTTATAGTATCGTGGGTGGCACTTATGACATGTTTGTAGTTATCAACGTAATGGGGACTATCAAGTATATACTGATTGTATAGTGTCCTGTTTGGCTGACTTGACCCATTTAGTTTGTTTGATATACATGTTTATAACTAGCTCAAAGTGACTAACTTGGGCTGAACATAGTTCTTTATGAGTTGACAGCGTTGCGTGAAAAGTGCCGAGTCAGTCTACTTACTATACTAAGTGACATATAAATCCGAACACCCAGTTTAAATGGTTTTATTTTAATAAAATTTTGTATAAGTACTTAATGAAGCATAATAAGTAAATGATAAAAATTTCAAAATGATTGCACTGCTTTAAAGCCCTTTGATCTTTAATAATGTGAGGATGCACCCTGATGTACTACGCATTCTCCAACGCGCCTAGGCATGCTTCTGATCAGGTGGTCAATGTCCTCCTGTGGTATCTCATTCCAGGCAACCACCAACTCCTCTCGAAGTGCTTCTAGAGTCTGAGGAGGACGTTGGAAATTGAGCAATCTCCTACCCAGGATATCCCACACGTGCTCAATTGGGGATAAGTCGGGAGATCTTGGTGGCCATGTTAACAATGTGACATCATTATGTTGAAAGAAGTCTATTGTGACTCTTGCAACATGTGGTCGGGCATTATCTTGTTGGAAAGTTGGATCTGCCAGGGTGTCAAGATAGGGTAAAAGATGGGGTTCTAGAACTTCGTGGATATAACGCTGCGCGTTCATGTTACCTCTGATGAAGATTAAAGGTGACCTGGAACCATAAGCTATAGCACCCCAAACCATAACTCCAACAGTGTGATGAACATGTCTTTCAACAAAAAACTGTGGATTCCTCCTTCCACCACGTCGCCTTCTAACCCTGGCACGACCATCGTGCATGCCTAAACAAAATCGAGACTCGTCACTAAAGACAATACTGTTCCATTCCTGATCCCAGAGTGACCGTTGTTTGCACCACTCAAGGGGATTACGTCGGTGTTCTCGAGTTAAAGGGAGGACCCAGTGTGGCCGGTATGAAAACAAGCCAAAACTTCTCATTCGTCGATAAACACTTCGCATGCCAATAGGTCTTCCGTGTTCTGCAAACCATTCATTTGCACCTGGTAGTGGAGAAACGGTCCCTTAAGGCCAATAATCTTAGGCGGCGATATTCACGGTCTGTTGTTCTACGGCGGCGTCCAGTGCCCCTTGCTCTTTGCGTACGGCCTTCTCGAAGCCATGCCTGACAACACCTAACCACAGTGTCTACACTTCTTTGCACTCTAACTGCAATTGCCCGAAAGGAAAGTCCAGCTTCCCGAAGTGCCACTATACGGCCCCTATCAAACTCACTAAGTTGACGAAATCGTACAGATCTCCGTACTCTAGGCATCGTAACCGATCGTAAAGGATGTCAAGAACCAAAATCCGCCAACGTTGATTCTTTACTACGGCTGACATATTCATTTTTAGAGCGTTAGTGAATTAAAAAAAAGCAGTATAAAAACCGGAATGTCCAACTGATAAGGCTGAAAATTTTTTCACTTGTTATTTACAGTAAGATAAATACATTCACCAACTTTTATTAAAATAAGACCATTTAAACTGGGTGTTCGGATTTATATGTCACTTAGTATATAAAGGCGAAACATTTGCCTTTGTTAAGTCCAAAATGCGCAATAATTTCTGGTTATAAGTGGAATATATTATGTGAGGATTGCTTCACATAAATTTGAGGGAGAAAATCAACACCTATACTCGCATTTTGGATATTCAAATGGAAGTAATACATTTATACCAAATTGTTTAATTAGCGTGAGTTAATCTACTCGAATTTATTGGTTTCAGGACTACGATTACGCCTACGATTATTCCGACTACACCCCATCATCGTCATCTCAAAAACCATCCACGGATGCACCTTTACTACCCCCTAAACCACCTTCTTCATCGCAATCTCCTACCTTTGTTTCAACTTCATCACCATCCATTATTTCCTCAACTCATCAGCCTCCTCTGAAACCTATACATACAGATACACCATCTTCTTCAAAACCAATTAACTCGATAGAATCTTCTTCCGAAGCTCCTATCCAAATTCAAACCAATGAAGCACAGTCGTCCAAACCATCCATTCTGACTGGAACCTCCTCAGACCCTTTACAATCTAGTGAGAATCAAAATCAGCTTGTGACGGAACAAGGTGTCCCTTCCAAGAATGAAGAGTCAAGTTTGAATGAAATACAAAATAAGCCGGCTACTCAAAGGACTTCGGATGAGCTGAGCTTCGGACCAGGAAAAATCAAAGTAAGTTTAAATGCATGTCACTCAATCTGATCGGTCTGTCTGTATTTTGAAGTTCTTGTCAGTAGATAATGTCAGCCTATTTTGTGGAAATTGAAGATCGATAGGTATTATATCGGTAGAGTGGTTTTGTAGTTATCAGCAAAAAATGAAAAAAAAAAACAGAAAGCCCTCAGAGTTTGTTGTTAGGTATTATTAGTCCACAGGTTTTCAGTTTTTTGCATGATCTTGTTCAAAAAATATCCCTTTTAATGAATATGTATGTTTCCAGGCTCAAAAGTTGGTCGCAAATTGTTTAAACATTTTTCAAAAGCAAACTCCAAAAACTGTTTTTCGCTCCGGGCATTTTTTACATTTTTTAGATCATTCTGAACAAAAGGTTCTTGTGACGTTTTTTCTTAAGTTGATAGTTTCTGAGATATAATGTTATAATTACATAAATCTGCGAGAAAGCAATTGTGTTAATAATAATTTTTATTGGAATGTTTATACATAAAAATATAAAAACAACATTCCAAAAGGAAAGAGGATTGGCAGGGCCATTTTTCACCTCCCCCTAAAAAGTTAACTTCATGAGCGTTTTTTAACATCAACAGAATTCACAACATATATTATGCACAACACAGTATATAATACGATATAGTCTAAGTGTTAATGGAGGGTAGTGTAGCAAGCGCCATAAATTTAATTTGTGGATTCAAATCTTTGCAGCTGTAGTAGCACTTTTTCCATCTCATTTCTGAAGTTTTGGATGGAAGGTGCTTCAAAAAGTTCTAAATGATCGTTTAGTAGATATGGTGCCGTGTAAGTAAAACATTTTTTGAATTTAGATGTTGTATGAACTGGAATATTGAAGTATTCATTGTTGCGTAAGGAAACTTTACGGAGTGAACATCTCTTCTCTAAAGCAATAAACAGATATCTGGCTAATTTATATTTTAAAACTTTATATAGTAGAGTTCCATACTGAAGTAATACACGATACTTGAATTTTAAAAGATTTTCTCTCACATAATATCCAGTAATATGTTCTTGTATATGTACATCTTTGAAACAGAATCTCATGCAGCAGTTTTGTAATACTTGAATTTTGTGCTTCATTTCTTCCGTCAGAAAATTATAATATACTGTAGCGCCATAGTTTAGGTGAGTGAGGATTAGTGCATTGGTAAGCCTTAATTTTATATCGCTGGTTAAAACATGTTTGTATCTCCAAAGTGACTTGTATTTACAATAGCATACTCGAAGCTTATTAATGACATGGTTCTCAAAACTTAAATTTGTGTCCAACAAAATGCCTAAATTCTTAGTATCCTCTACAATTTCAACAGATGTATCACCTAAAACAATGGCTGCACTCATCAACCCTTTAAATTTTGAAACATTTAACCTAGAACCAATGCAGCCAGCTTTACTTTTTGTGGGATTCAGTTTCAAACAATAATTTTTGGAATAGTTTGCAATCATTTCTAGATTTACATTTAACTCTTTAATCAATAAATTAACTTCATTTGGCTTGCAAGCTTTATACATTTGTACATCATCAGCATATAGATGTATATTCCAATCATGTGATATAAAATTTAATAAATCAGATGTATAGAATGTGAATAGTAATGGACCTAATACACTTCCTTGCGGAACACCAGATACTACATTTTGTAAAGTGGAAATTTTGTTAAATATCTTTGTGCATTGGGATCTGCCAGTCAGGTAGTTGTTGAACCACAGTAAGGCATTACTAGACAAACCATAATATTGTAGCTTTTTACATAATACTTCATGGTTGACCATGTCAAATGTCTTACTGTAATCCAACATCACCAATACGGTCACCATACCATCATCCATGAACTTGACTATATCGCTAGTTACTTTTATAAGCGGTGTGGATGTGTTGTGTAGTTTTCTGAATCCCGACTGTGTATCGGGAATGACTTCATTTACTTCTAGATGGTCACGAAGTTGGTCAGCTACCACTTTCTCTGCAAGCTTGGACATCACAGGTAAGGTGCTTACTGGTCTCAAATCCTTCATCTGTGTAGCGTTATTGACTTTTGCTAGTGGCGTTACAACTGATTTCTTCCATAATGTTGGTACTTCTCCTGTGTTCAGGGATTGATTTATGATATTCGTTATTTCACTTTTGCAAAAATACATTTTTCAGCATGCTTGTGGTAATACCATCTATACCAGCAGCATTTGATTTCACTTCTCTTAGTTTCTTTTCAATATCATCAGATGTAACTAGATGGAACGAACTTTTAGTTACGAGTGACTTTTTCTGCCCAGATAAAGTGTTAAGAAATAACTCATCAGGTTGAATAGTTGGCAACGAGTTCACAAAGTGATTGTTGATGGCTTCTGCGTCTTCAATGACCTGAGATATCTGATTAGTGGATTTTTGATGAATATTCCATTTAGCGAAGTCTGTCCATAGTTGCTTGGGATTATTCCTGTTCTTATTTAGTTGATATTTTATATAAGCTGTTTTTTCATTCCTTAAAGCCACACCTGCGTAATTTCTAAGATCGTTATAAAACAATCGATCTGTTTCAGATCTAGTCCTTTTAAATTTATTGTAAGCTTTTCGTTTTAAATTTATTATACATTTTATTGTATAGGTGACGTACGGCCTGTAGAACTTATGAGGTGTAATTCTTTTCATTGGAGCATGTATGTCATACAGAAAGGTAATGTTCTCAGTAAGATGGAGGACTTTATCATCAAGACTTTCTAGATTATTTATATCATGCCAGTTCACAACAGTTGCATCCTCAGCAAATTCATCATAATTAAAGTGGGAAAAGTCACGACAATAAAATGTTGTAGGAGTGTATTCTGGAATTTCAATCTTCAATTCACAGAAGCATAACCTGTGATCAGTTATATCTCCCATGCCTATAGTGCCACTCTTGCGCACATGCAGTGTATTTGATACAAAAATTACATCAATCATTGTAGCTGAATTCTTGGTAATTCTTGTGGGTTCATTAATAACCTGAACGAGATTGAATAATGCCATGGTTTGAAATTTTTTTTACTGGGATTGGAAGACTTATCGGTGAGGTCAATATTCACATCGCCCATCAGTATAACTTCATCATGGGTAATGAATATAGAAGCAAGGTTATTCTCAAGGCTAGAAAGTAGACTTAATGCAATAGATGGCGGTCTATAGATAACACCTATCGCAATGGACTTATTATTTAGTTTTAGCGATAACCACATTTGTTCAATGCCATTTGAAGAAATGTTACAATCTACGACTTTAAATTTTATGTTGGTCTGGATGTAAAAACATACTCCACCTCCTCTTTCTTCTCTGTCATTTCTAATCAGCTGGTAATTTGGCAGAGTAACTAAATCCGAAGGAAAATCATGTGTAAGCCAAGTCTCTGTTAGTGCTATAATATGAAGGCTCTGCTCTAGTATCACGTCTGAAAACATATCAAAGCTAGGAATAAGTGACCGGATATTCACATGTGCTACGTTTAGCGTGCTACAATTTTTTGTGACGCCTTCACTGTGAGCGATGATTGGACTCTTCGATGAATTTTCTGACTTGTCCTTTGATTGCTATATAGAGTAATTTATGTTTCTAATTGCTGTTTCAAGCTTCTTCCTCATTACTGTGCAATTTACTTTGTCAAAAGCAGAATGATCAATCTTTAAATTCAACTTAAATTTATTATTAAGTTCCAAGCAATTTGGGCAAGATATATTTGATTTCGTGCATATATCTGCTTTATGTCCTCTCTCACCGCATTTTAAACAGAACATCTCTCCGGTACATTTATTAGCAGTGTGGTTGAAGCCGCTGCAATTGTAGCATCTTAACAAATTAATGTGTTCATATACTGAGCATATTGTTAAATTAATACATAATATTCCGTTTTCCATGATGCTATGAAAGGTTTTGGGGTCACATTCTATAATGGCAAAATATCGTATTTTCATTTGCTTTGTTTTAACTACATTTATATATGCAACCCTGTCAATAAACATGTTCTCTTGTTTTATAATGTTAACAAGTTCTGTATTTTCAAACATCTGTTCTATACCTACTATCTTAATCTTAGGTTTTTGTTGACTACTTACGATGTTCACACTGTACGAGCTGCTCAGTTGTTTATTGATTACCTCATTTATTTTCTGAACACCACCTTCATCTGCACACGAAATTTTTAATGTTCCATTTTCGGATTGTTTTACTCCTGTAAGTTTCATATTCAACTCAGCAGGTTTTAAAACTTTCAGAATATCTTTTTTTGTCTGCATGACTTGTTGTACTTCTTTTGGTTTTATAATAATGCTGTTAGAACTTGTATTTCCCTTTTTCACCACTGAACTATATGACGGTTTCAAAGCTCTGTTGATACAAATATCTTGATCAGTGATTTCTTCTATCTTACCATTGGTTCTGCAACTGATTGTTGCAATTTTTTCATACAGTAAGGAAATTTTTTCGTATAGCTCCTTTATTATTATGTCTTTTGCCAGAATTATTTAATCTTTGGATAGGATGATTTGTTCTTTTGCTTTTATGATGTCATTTAACAATATCTCCTCCCTATTACTGTTACGTTGTATTGCTTTTCCTTCTTTTTCCTTTTCTTCCTCTCCATCTGAATGATTTTGATTTTTATTTTTCTTTCTTACACCTTGACTCATATCAAATGCGGTACTGTTTTTTCTTCTATAATGTTCTTTTTCTTGCCTTCAGCCTAGTTATATCCTACTGCTTTGTTCTTAGCGCCCTGCGGATACTAACTCGTGCGACTTTTACAATTCCTGACACAAATGTCACAGAATATATAGGTCAAAATGGTTAAAAACCACTCTGCGGCTCCAGAGTATACCACCAACAGTTCCACGGACGCGATTCTTTCCGATATTGAAGTGAACGCTACTGCTTTAAATTATCTTCAAGTCTTGTGTGAGATATTCAGGTATTTATAGCGATCTAAATGACTGCTGTGATCTATACTATACTATATACCGGATCTGTCTTGTTTTGAAAAATATCATATTGCTTAGTGGTTTACTATCCGTATTTAGATATTATAACAAAAAATCGTTAGTAACAGTATTATGAATACGTGTTGCAGGCTTGTAAATGACTCAGAAAATATGATCATACATCGACAGCCATTAATGACCTCAGCTGGATGAAAATCGATGAAGTGTATACATTCCAGAACACATATTTATCTACAATGCGACCAAATTATATAACTCCTTAGACCGTAGTTTAAAAGAAACTAAGTCATTAACCAAACTCAAGAACATATTGAAAGAAATTCTACTTGATTAGCAGCTACATCTTTTGTAACCAACAAGTGTAAACTGACCTTGTGTTTTCTTTATGCCTCTACATTAATTATGCTTTATTATTGATCTTATTGTACATAGGTATTAGTTTTTAACAAATTTTCAGTTCTTATACATCTCGTATTGTTAAGTGGGCTTGGTAAAAGAATAGATGCAGTATGTAAATCTCGCCTCCTGTAATGATATTTAGAATGAAAAGACGTTAATTATTATTATTATTTAATATTCAATTTGCCCCCGACCCCGAAAATCAACAAATTTTTTTGAGTAGCCGAAGTTCTTGAATATTCTTCAAGCATCTATCAGTAAAAACAGAATGCATTTTAGGGAGTATTGTTGTTATAAACCTCTATTTTTTTAAGTAATCGCACGCTCACTCAGAATATACATCGAGTGCGAGAATCATAAATAAAAAACATAGGTCACACATCATAGTAACAATACCCCATGAAATGCTTTCGAATTTTATATAAAAGGTTTTCTTTTTATTCATGTTGTTTTGCGGTGTCAAAAACGGCTTATTTTGCTAATTTGTCATCGTATTATAAAGAGATATAGTTAAAAATTTAGAAATCTTGGGAATTTTGAAATCCAGCCTGATCTTGTGAGTTACATATACCAATAAAGATATTTGAAGACCATTTGAGTATCGAGGATTTTCAGTTGTACAAACGGGAAATTTAAAATTAGAATACGTGGGAAGCACTGAGTCAGCCTACTTGACACAATTTTTCTTTTTCATTCCAGGTTCAAATAATCGAGACACCTGTAGCGGACCAAGCAATTAGCATAATACCTGGTGAAGAAGAACAACCATCATCTGTTGACTCTGACAGTACAAATGAGTCTGTACCTCAAGGAGATATGGTACATATACGTAAGTGTGCCCAAGGATATACTAGGGACAAGAAGGGGAGGTGCAGGAGACTCAGGAAGCCTATCCAGCCTCATCTAACGTAAGGACTCTTTCTGTTATAAATCATTACACTTATCATAAGTTTTTGATGAGAGAGGGGGAAGCTTAGCTTGATATGTTTATAAACCACCTAACTTGACATGAAAATTAAATTATTTCAAACGTTAATGCTTGACACGACCTGATTTTTTTATTGTTTTACTTGACTTGAGAAGTACCTGTTTCTTGATACTTGATGGCAAAGTATATTTTTGTTCCACTAAAGACTTTTTTTCGCGAGACACTGTGTACACTGCCATCTCAAATGATGCATGCAAATCGTGTTGCTAAACCGAAAATACGAAATCGGTAGATAGTGTTATTGAAATTCGGTAGATTCTAGGCGAAGATTGGTAGGAAGAAAAATCTGGACCGACGCAAGATGGGCGGCGAACCAAGAGCTTTTGGGTCATGTAGCGTCATCTATATGAAAAGTATATTTGCGATTAGCGTGGACACACAACACAGATACAAAAAAAAGAATTCAACAACTAATCTCACATGTTTTTTACAAAAACAAGATACAGGTATAATGGCGATACATCTTTAGCTATTACACATATTATATAACAGGCACAACTTAAAAGTAAACTTTGTGAGTGCGGTTCTAACTCCTGTCTGTTGTCACTTCTATTATTTTTAATTAACTTATTACAAAAATTATCAAGACTACTTTTATTTTGAAATACTTGAAAGACAGACGTAAAAACTACTTGACTTGATATTAGATTGTCATATCTAATACTTTACTTGAGCTTGAATTGATTCTGAGTCAAGTCAAGTAGCTTGAAAATCAAGTCAAATCGTGAATTCCTAACAAGAGCTCACACGTATGTAGACGCTGCTTTTGATTATACAGGGTGCCCGCAAAGTTGGGGTTTTCCTTTACGCGACGTGTAGATCTTGAGAAAATAAGCGTATTTTCTTAGTAGCATATACACCAATGTGTTGAGAGAACCGAGATATTGGGCTCCGCAAACTCAATCAAACCTAAACCAAACCGAAGCCGGTCCTGTCCTATCCTCGATCACGTCCACAGCGCCAGCGCCAGCGTACAGTTTTACGACGTACGACTACGATGTAAATACGCATTTTACGACAGAGCCGTACTTGGAATTTCAATTCAACTGAACAGTGAATACTTTTGCATTTTTATTTACTTGTTCGCTCAACATTAGCTTTGTTATATCAAGGGCAGTTGTGTCTGAAAAGGAAAACCCCAACTTTGTGGACACCCTGTATTGAAACTGTCTCAAGAACCACTTTCTCGCGCACTGCTTACTACGTTTTTTTTTTAGTAGACCAGGTGCGTTTGTTTGTTTCCGTTGTCTGTGTCCAAGTCAAAACCCTACTGATCATTGCATGAATGGTGCAGTATGAGGTATGTCATATTACTTTATTAATGCATCTCTTGTTTTCAGATTTGGTCTAGGCAGACTAGCAAGCAACCTTGCTTCTAGGTTTAGACATCCCTCGTACGATGGATCATCATCAGAATCAACGGAAGACTGAGTTACGTTTATATAAAATTTACAAGTATTTAGGCAATTGCTCAATGTGTTATTTTTATTTATTTATTATTTTTTCTTTAAGAAAAGCACTACAGATTGTTGAATGCTGCCTGTTTATATGCCATAAGTGACCTGAGTTTTAGATGTGGAGACGAATCTTTAGATTAGTTAAATATAGAAACTGCGCATTATCAGTTTTAACAGCCAGTGTTAAAAATAGAAATAAAATATTTTGTACCACCTTATCTTGTGTTTATTTCTGCATTTCTATTATTGCGTTCTAGAAGATATATTTTAGCACTGTACTGTTACATTATTTTGTCGCTACCGAAATTTCCTTATAAATGGCAATGACAGTGATTATAACTTTTGCAAGCACAATAGGGGGAATTGCCCAGAGCCAGGTTTCTAACAAAGTTGTCTATCACCATTTAAGATTTCATTCTTCTTCATTTTATTGGTTTTCCTTATTATACCTTTCGAACTTGGTAGCTGAGAGAGGTCCAGTTTTTCGCGACTAAAACCTAAACTCCCACAAATTATTAATCAAATATCTAAATGAATCGATTTCAAGTAAAATATCAACTTAGTGTATCGCCGTTTGAGAATATACATGGGAGATGGGAGTAAAGGCTATAAAGACTAACTTGCAAATATCTATTTAGGAATAATAATGCAAATTGCACCACTATGAAAACACCATCGTAAACAAACAAGTAACTCGTGACACGAGGTGCACGTACGTCCACTGCGGTAAGGTGGAATCTATTCCATTGGTGTCCGCAGGGGAAGGCCAGGGAGGCCATGACCCCACGTGGGAATCAGGTCGGACCTTAAAATTTGCATATTTACCATGAATTTATATAGAATATTGAGGATTTTTAGCATGTGGCCCCACCTGAGAAAATTTGCTACCCGCCGCTCTAAGTTTTGTGGGCAGGTTCACTTCACATAAAGTTTCCTCTGGGCGTTGATCTGTCTCATCTGAGAATGGTAGAATGATTCCTGTGTGCGCTCTTCGCCTAAGATACTATACTAAGTGACATATAAATCCGAACACCCAGTTTAAATGATTTTATTTTAATAAAAGTTGGTGAATGTATTTATCTTACTGTAAATAACAAGTGAAAAAATTTGCAGCCTTATCAGTTGGACATTCCGGTTTTTATACTGGTTTTTTTTAATTCACTAACGCTCTAAAAATGAATATTTCAGCCGCAGTAAAGAATCAACGTTGGCGGATTTTGGTTCTTGACATCCTTTATCCATGATGCGCTGGCAATACTGCGCTTATCGCCCAGTTGTGTACTGGTGATCTGGTTCACGATGGGTTGCAGAGTGCGGTGGACGAAGTACTAGAGTGGCCAAACGGTGGCTGATTAAAATTAATCATTCGAAAACGCAGGCTATTTATTGTACTAAAAAAACGTCGTGGCCCCCAGCAGAGGTTTCTGTAGACGGAAATCGTGTACCATGGACAAATTCTGCCAAGTATCTCGATACAGGCATGACCTGGCAGAAACATACAGCAGCCCTGAAAACAAAATTAAAATTGCGTTTCGGCAACTATATCCTTTGTTATGTTGATCCTCCAAATTGAGTTTGGTAAACAAAGTTCGACTATATGAAATGATTATCAGACCAGCCATTACTTATGTATACTAAGTGACATATAAATCCGAACACCCAGTTTAAATGGTTTTATTTTAATAAAAGTTGGTGAATGAATTTATCTTACTGTAAATAACAAGTGACAAAATTTTCAGCCTTATCAGTTGGACATTCCGGTTTGTATAGTGTTTTTTTTAATTCACTAACGCTCTAAAAATGAATATTTCAGCCGCAGTAAAGAATCAACGTTGGCGGATTTTGGTTCTTGACATCCTTTACGATCGGTTACGATGCCTAGAGTACGGAGACCTGTACGATTTCGTCAACTTAGTGAGTTTGATAGGGGTCGTATAGTGGGACTTCGGGAAGCTGGACTTTCTTTTCGGACAATTGCAGTTAGAGTGCAAAGAAGTGTATACGTAAATAGGCGGATATTGCTCCAGATAATTTTTCATGAGTTACTTTACGGCTTCTAAGGCACAGTACCGTATTTTAGCAATTAAATTCATTGTTCCAAAATAATTACCCATGAACCCAAAATTAAAAGATAAGTGAGATACGGTTATTGCCTTTACACTATAAAGGGAAATTATTAAACAGAGTGTTCTTAAATTAAGTCAAATGTTTTCTTCGTCACTGTGGATAAACGAAATCAAAGGCGCTTCAAAAAATGTAAACCTAAGATTGAAAGGCAATAGAGTCCTGTACAATTTGGTAAAAACTTCTTGACTTCGTACGGGAATTAAAAAAGTTATGAAAGGAAGAAAGAAAGCTGATGATAAAATGTTCATTTGCCTTTAAAACTTCAACCACCGTACCTACTGATGTGAATAAAAAAACAGAATATAGAGGGAAAAATATGATCACAGAGAGACTCAACAACACCAACAACAACTGCAACAAGTCAAGCCGCGGCTACAATCAAGAAATCAGTTATACAAATTAAAGCCCATGGATGTGCCTATACAGCTTGTTGGAAATATCAATAAAATCTAGTTAATATACTAAGTGACATATAAATCCGAACACCCAGTTTAAATGGTTTTATTTTAATAAAAGTTGGTGAATGTATTTATCTTACTTTAAATAACAATTGAATAAATTTTCAGCCTTATCAGTTGGACATTCCGGTTTTTATACTGCTTTTTTTAATTCACTAACGCTCTAAAAATGAATATTTCAGCCGCAGTAAAGAATCGACGTTGGCGGATTTTGGTTCTTGACATCCTTTACGATCGGTTACGATGCCTAGAGTACGGAGACCTGTACGATTTCGTCAACTTAGTGAGTTTGATAGGGGCCGTATAGTGGGACTTCGGGAAGCTGGACTTTCTTTTCGTGCAATTGCAGTTAGAGTGCAAAGAAGTGTAGACACTGTGGTTAGGTGTTGTCAGGCATGGCTTCGAGAAGGCCGTACGCAAAGAGCAAGGGGCACTGGACGCCGCCGTAGAAGAACAGACCGTGAAGATCGCCGCCTAAGATTATTGGCCTTAAGGGACCGTTTCTCCACTACCAGGTCCATTGCAAATGAATGGTTTGCAGAACACGGAAGACCTATTGGCATGCGAAGTGTTTACCGACGAATGAGAAGTTTTGGCGTGTTTTCATACCGGCCACACTGGGTCCTCCCTTTAACTCGAGAACACCGACGTACTCGCCTTGAGTGGTGCAGACAACGGTCACTCTGGGATCAGGAATGGAACAGCATTATCTTTAGTGACGAGTCTCGATTTTGTTTAGTCATGCACGATGGTCGTGCCAGGGTTAGAAGGCGACGTGGTGAAAGGAGGAATCCACAGTTTTTTTTGAAAAACATGTTCATCACACTGTTGGAGTTATGGTTTGGGGTGCTATAGCTTATGGTTCCAGGTCACCTTTAATCTTCATCAGAGGTAACATGAACGCGCAGCGTTATATCCACGAAGTTCTAGAACCCCATCTATTACCCTATCTTGACACCCTGGCAGATCCAATTTTCCAACAAGATAATGCCCGACCACATGTTGCAAGAGTCACAATAGACTTCTTTCAACATAATGATGTCACATTGTTACCATGTCCACCAAGATCAAAGGGATTTAAAGCCGTGCAATCATTTTGAAATTTTTATCATTTACTTATTATGCTTCATTAAGTACTTATACAAAATTATATTAAAATAAAACCATTTAAACTGGGTGTTTGGATTTATATTTACATTTGACAATGATGGAGCTTTCAGGCAACTCAAAGCCAATATAGAGTTTTTTTTGTACTCTTGTTTTGCTGCTTTGTTTTGATCTTCCTTATTCCGATTTTGCGCAGTTGCGAGAGTTTATTTCGTAAGATTATATTTTCCTTATTTAGCGCTGTTGTCAGCGTGTAAAGCTGGATAAGCCTAATTAAAGTAATTTCAAGTTATAAAAACAAAGTGGTTAAAATAAATTAATTAATATAAATATGAGGTTTAGATCACAGATGAAAATCAATGCAAAAATAGGCAGTGTTCTAAATAAATTGAATTGTGCTGATTTTATAGTCTTCTGAAGTAGTCCTACCGGTTTTGTGGTCACTTGTATTTCTGTGGATCTATGATTCTAGACCTATTCATTTATTGTATGGCTTAGACACAAATATACTGGAGAGCGTAACTATACCAACAATTCATCAATAATTTTCGTTTTTTCTCTAGCTGCTTTAAATGTAACTTTATACTCGTATAGCTTACAGGGATGAATTTGTTGTTAAGTCAATTAGAATACTTATTATTTTTCTTTATTTTATATCTATGAATTATATTAAGTTATAATTGAACCGAGTGAGAGGAAGCCGAAAGTAGTTGATGGCGCTATAGTTATAACTGGAATGCTCGCAAGTTAATTACCGAAACTATTTTTTGAAAAGTTTTACAAGGTTTTGATATTTCGGGGTTAGCTTCACGGTTCACTTTGGTGGTCATAAAAATTATTTTTTGTGGACATTCGTTATTTGTTGTCGCTGTCAAAAATAACGTAAAGTAAGGATTAACGACTTGTTATTTTTGTTGCACTTAAAAGTCTCTGATGAGACCAAAGATCAGCCTTAACACTCAGCAAGCCTCAACTTGGCGTTTCATACTGCAAGCAGTAAGAAGCACTTTTTTCACTATCAAATTAAGAAATCATTTCACTTACATTTCTCCCCCTAAGTAAAAAATGATAATGAAAAAACCCTATATAAATAATGAACGTGTTCATTCATGCAGAATTTATCTGGCTTGCTGGGCACAAAATTGACTATCATATCTAATCCTTTACCCTAATGTTAATACAGAATCTAATTTATAATTATAATAATTATTGTCGATTGTATTTATGTAAGCCATTATTTTGACAGCTTGGAAGTAAAAGTCAGTTGTTAAATTGAAGTATTTGAATATTAGTGGGAAACAAATGATGTGTCGACTCACGTAGCATCTTCTATATTTGTCGAGCGAATTCAGACTAGGTAGCAGGAGCCAGTCAACGGTTTACTATCATAGTCATTGATCAAACTTCACTTGACGTAAGTCAATTTTTTTATAGTTCTGTCATTAAATTCGTAGATTATGTGTATATTTTTTACATAATTTGCAAACTGCAGTACAAGCCTAATGGGTAGATGTTTTCACCGGTAA